GCTCAGAAGTAATTTTCTTTTTTTTTCGTGACTACATCAAAACTAAACCCCGTAACACTTGAATTTGGCAGTGTTCATATTCTGATGTATTCAGGATATATCTGTCACGCATGAAGTCTGTCACTTTCTCCTGATCTTCTGTTTTCACAATTAGAAAACATTATGCAGAAGCAAGAAAACAGCCAACTTTCACCACTGTCAGAAAGTTTTTCAGTTTACTTATCTGACAAATGCTTCTACACTGGGTTTGTAAGCACTGACACTGCTTCTTTTAACAAAAATTGCAGAATGAACTTGTTAAATCCTAGAGTCATTACTTTGGGATGAGAAAGGACATGTTCATCCAACTGAAGACTTTGTGACATCCATCGTGTGGCAGATGACCCACTCCAACCCAACGCTTCTCATCTTGTTCGCAACAGCAGAGGCATTTATATGCAGCATTAAAACAAACAAACAAACATTAATTAAGCAACATGAAGGGATTTAATAGAAGAATAAACATTTCTAATTAGGTGATGCAGCTGGTCAAGTCACTTCTGAAGCACCAAATGCCAACACAACATTTGGTATCAATGTGTTCTTGAACTCCTGAGTGACACTAAATACCCAATGCCCAGTATATTGTTTTCAGCAAGCAACATTTGGCCTCTCCAGCAGCAAAAAAGACAGGTAAATATCAGTGCAAGAATGAAAAATGCAAGGAGCCCAAATGCCAGGGGGCACATGCCCCAAATTAGCGGGTGCTGTGTGTCCAGAGGACTGCTTAAGTCATGCCACTACTGATAGGAGAATGCATGCTTTTCACAGCTTATACAGCAGTCAAATAACAAGATTTTATGTCTTTTCCTTAAGAAAGTGCTTTGTGTGTATTTGGCTGTATATTGCTGTATTTGGCTGTATATTGCTAACTCAAACTGTACGTTCACCTCCAGTATTTGTGGTGCTGCTGTACTGCTGCCTGGAGCCAGGTGTGAATTCACAGACATTAAGGTGACTATGCAGTTTAATATCATAATTAGACGAGGCTTCTCCTGATAATGTTGGCACTCAGCTCAGTAATGGATCTCCTAATAGTAACTTTGCCAGCTGACACACCATAAAAGACAATCACAAGCATAAAAATGCAGGTAAGAAAACAAAATACCAAAAAAAAGGCATAAAAGCATTATTTTGAGATGACGACAGTGATAGATGTAGGACTGGTCAGAGTTACAAACATCACCAGTCCCTTCTGATGGTCATCAAAATCACCCTGGGGATAAACAAAGCTTCCAGGATCAGGAGTCTATTGAAAAACACACCACTTCTCCTCGGTTATTATGTGATCCTTTTATCAAAGGGTATGGATTTAATACAGCCCAGAAAACCATAGAAGCCTTGGGTTGGCAGCAACCCAAGACCATCAGATGGCTTGGGTTGGAAGGGACCTCAATCATCACCCAATTCCAACCCCCCAGCAAAAGCAGAGTTGCCCCCCAGCAGATCAGGCTGCCCAAGGTCCCATCCAACCTGGCCTTGAACTCCTCCACGGATGTGGCATCCACAGCTTCTCACCTAGCCCAGCTCTGCTGCTGTGTTTTATTCCTCCAGAAATAACAGGGATTGTCTTCTGTACTGCACTATCCCCTCCAGAACCAGCAACAGCCATACAACACACCAATCCAAGCCACGTATTTTTCACTCAGTTTGCCATAGAGTTGCCCTGGACACTGTTCAGGGGCTACGAGCAGCCTCTGCAGGTGTGACTTAGGCCATGGGCACTGCAAAATGTTGGAGAGGTCGTGCGGGTGAATACTGACAAAAGGAAGCCCAGCTGGGCTCTGGGAAAAGAACACTGGCAGCATGAGATGTGTTAAGAGCACAGTGATAAATCTGTCAGGATTAGGATGTGAGAGGTCTGACCAAGGCTGGTTGAAGGACCAAATCGGCCCTCACATGAATCCAGCTTTTTAAAAACAGAATTTCATGTTCAAAAGCATCGCTGGCAGCTGACAGTGAAAGCAACAGATAAACATGGAAAGCAGCCCAAAATGGAGCCGCGAGGTTGGGGATGCTCGGTGCGTCTGGATGGCGACCTTCCCAAAAATCTCAAGGAAAGCAAGAGGTGAGAAAACACCAGCAGCAAGCCGGCGGCTCGCCAGGGAGCAGAGAGCTAATGATGCGAACACGATGGGAAGAGCGGGCATAATGTCCTCAGCTGGTGTATTTTGGCAGGGATCTACGGAGCCCCGCGGGCAGGGGCAGCCTGTGCCAGGCTGTCTGCAGGGGAGCAGATAGGGATAATCGTCAGACAAGGAGGTGATTATACACAGACCGTAAATATCCGCCGCACACGCTCGGACGGTGTGAAAAAAGACAGTGTTTGAAATGAGCTCAAAGTACGTGGGAGAGATCAGTCCTGAAGTGAGAGACAGGGAAAGATACCTCTGTAATTTGTTCCCGTTACGGTCAATGCGGTTGAGATCAGCAGCAAAAATACAAGAAATCTGGCAGGAAAGTTATTTTAATGGAAGGTAAAGAATTTTGGACTGCAATTTTAGGATTTTCTCTTTTCCCGCTGCTCTGCCAGCTAATACCCAATACCTTAAAGAGATTTAGGAGGTTTCCCGACATGCACTGATGTGGAGTTTGCCTTCATACACCATTACTTCCATTGCCTGCAGATACGCAAAGGCCTCGATTCTGCAAAAGCTTACACAGAGATTGAAATTTAGGCATCTGACTAAACCTGTGAGATTAGATCTTATCCTTCTAGATACCCTCCATCAGGATAACAAAGCAGAATCAGCTTTGCTGTCTTGCCGAGGCCAACACTGCAGTCAGCTCTCCATGCTGTCCATGAGGACACTCAAGGCAATAACCAAGAGATGGCAATTTTGGCAGCTGGAAAACACAATTGTAAAGCTGGAATAGTTGGAAAAGTTATTCACTCTGAAAGTGAAAGGCGGGACTACTCTAAGTTTTCTAGCTGTAGCCCAATAATTTCTATCCAAGATTGGAACGGCCACTAGGGCAGCCCCACGGGACCTCTTGCTTTTCCAACAGTCACATCTCAAAGCTGATCTTTGGGGCATTTCTCTATTTGTAAGAGACTATTCTTTTGCACCTTTGTCTCCAAGCTCGCTGAGGAGCACCCGATGGTCAAGTCCTGGTCAAGGGTTGAGAAACCCTTTGTCTAAAGGACACAGATGGACAAATCTAGGCAAGTGCTGGTAAAAGTTGGCGAGATCTTTTGTCTGAAGATTTGCAGGTGTAGGCAACGAGAAAGAGAGATAATTAGCAGCTTAATGGCCGGGAAGCAGTCTTTTGTGTGGGCTCATCTCCAGGGAGATAACCATCTCAAGGGTGCTGCATGTGACTTTTACCAAAGTGCCTAGGAGTGCCACGTTGGCAGAAGAAGGATAAAAAAGGGATGGGGGATGTCCTGGCAACATTGCAATCACTGCCACTGGGTTCGGGGCAGTTGAGGCAGATGTGCAGGGCTGCCAGGTGCCCAGTGGGATGTGTGCCAGCACGGCCATGGGCACTGTTTGTCACCAGGCAGCCCTGCTGGGCCCAGCAGGTGGCTACGACTTTCAGCACCTCTGCCACCAAGAAAGCAGTAAGAAGTTATGAAAAGAGAGGATGCCTAAATCCAGCTGAGCTGCAACAGTCATTGGACACCACTGCTGCTCAACACCTGCCATCAGGACATGAAGCCAATGGACACTTCCCAGAGAACATCAGTGCAGATGCAACCTTAGAAACTCGGCTCAGCTCGTTAGGAATCCCATAAAGCAGGTCATAGGGTTTCCACACCACTCATCATTTCTGTCTCTCATCTCGGTGTTAGATCAAATCTCAGTGTTAGACCCAAGCCACCCACCTCCTGCCCTTTAGTTTCACTGCAGGGTCACCCATTTTGGGGTATGCTCATATCTCCATTGTTGTAAGTGCATGAAGCAGCCCACCCCAAAGCTCCCAGACACAGCCAGGTGCACCCTGCAGCAAACTGCTTTGGTGTGAGGTGAGAAATACAAGCGGTGAACAGAAGTTCAGTTCCACACCAAGGCAAAGCAAGGCTTCATGTCCTTTTAATCCATAACATAAATAATAGAATCGCATAATCATGAAGATTAGAAAAGACTTCTAGGCTTCCCAACCCCAGCCCATCCCCACCACTGCCCACATCCCTCAGTGCCACATCTCTACTCCTGAGCTCCTCCAGGGATGATGACCTCCCCGCTCCCCAGGCAGCTGTGCCAGTGCCTCACTGTTCTTTTGGAGAAGAAACTGTTCCTAAAACCCGACCTGACACCCTCCCGGAGCAACATCAGGCCATCACCTCTCATCCTAAGAAATCAATTAAATGCATTAACTTCCTCTGCCCACCCTGGGATTTCAGGCTGACTCGTGCTGAAGCATCCCCATATCCTTCCCCTAGCAAACACAGTCCCGGGGAAAGTCACCGTGCATAAACGTGGAGACAACCAAACACTGACAGAGCTTAAAGTTACAAAGAACAAAAGTTTGGAGCAACGTTCTGAGACCCACGCACAGCTGAACGCTGCTCCGTACATTTACAACGAGAGGATCTCCCTCCCTTCCCTCTGCCACAAGAAATCTGCACTGTCAGCTGCGGCTGAACGGCAGGAGGAGGACGGGGCTGCGACCCACGCAGGTCTCCCAGCAGCCGCAGCCCCGCTCCCGGCCGCGCTCACACGGGATGAAGCGAAGTCCCGCCAGCAGGGCAGCTCCTGCCCCGGCGCTGGGCTGGGAAGCACCGAACCCAAACCCGATCGCTGTTCTGCCTTTCCCCACCCCCTGCCCGGGGCCCGGGGAGCGGAACGCGGAGCGAAGTTGGGGAGCTGGGGGGGGGGGGAGACGCGGGAGTTCCGCACGCACAGCGCCCGGCACCGCGGGGCTCCGGGACGAGGAGCGGCGGCTGGAAATGGAGCTGGGGCTGAGGAAGGGCTGCAAACCCTCCCCGCGTCCGCCTGCGGATCTCGGGGACTTACCTCGCGCTCGGGGTGATGCTAGGAGCAGCGCGCTGAGGCTCAGCAGCAGCACGGAGGGGCGCGGAGCGGGGGAGCGCTGCCGCTCCGCACGGAGACGCTTTGACATCTTAGCCCGGACTGAGGGAGACAAACTTTCATCAGCTGGGGCTGGAGAACAGCCCCATCATATACAGTTACAGAGAGGAGCGAGCCGGGACTCAGGATGTGAGAGATTTCCTGCATGCAGTTAACTCCAAACCCCTCCTGCTCCTGCATCAGCCGCTGATGAGTTGGGCTCTGCTTTCTTAGGAAAAA